TTCAATACAGATACTTCAGTTATTAGGGACAGAATTGCCTCTTCACCCTGATCGGGCGCCAGATGTACCTTTTACCCTAGCAATATTCACTGTCCAAAACCTTTCTTAGAATCACCTATCGGTCTACATCGATATATGAGATCACTCTCCTCCGTACCAAGAGAGCGGACCCATAACTGAATTGGGTAGAGGAAAAGGATCTGCAAACTCGGAAAGGGGACTGAGAGCGATGGAAGGATCAACATTACTCCAGTCATTAAAGACTAAGAGGTAATTCCTTGAAAGTTTCCCTTGTGCATTCTCACCCTCCCCCGACCATTTAACCTGCTCAATAGTACCACCTTGTTCCCCTCCCAGCCAGTTTAGATTAAACATTTTAATGTGTTGTTGGATTTCATTTTTTGCTGTGAGAAATTTAAGTTTGGCTTTTAACGTTTCCCATCTCGCTGTTATCTCTAGCTGAACTTGCTGTTTGATGGATTCCGTGAACTCAGGCCCATCAAGACGGGCCTCCTCCATTTCAAATGTGCACCTGCGAGTCCATATGGCCCACACTATCGCTCTTGTGACGCGCAACCTCACGCCCTGTGCTGTCTTTCGTTCGGAGTGCTAGGCGTGCGGAAAAAGGCCCAGAAAAACAGCAAGATGGGGTGTGCCAAGGATTTTTGGAAATTGAGTGTGGGGACACAGATGGAACTGAAATCCCCCGTGTTGGTCCAATGAAGCAAGTCGATTTCTTTCGCGCGTCGCGGAATGCGCGCGCAGGCACGGTGCGAAAAGAGAAAAATCCAAATTCAATCCAAAAAGTATTGTCGGGCTTCCCACCGAGCTACAGCCCGTCGTTTAGAACGGAAAGGCTTTGGCACGCTCCGTGTGTCTCGTTTTCGTATCAAATCTCGTCGTCGTTCGATGGTCAGTTTCGAGTCCGACGTGGATGGTCTCAGCCGCGTGGCTCTTTCTTTATGCTCGTCTTCACTCCGCACACGGTAGTGGAAACCCCTGGATTCGTAGCGCTCAAAACGCTGGCATTCGGTGCATAGATTGCACGGCCAGTGGGGTTCTACTGTCGTCCACGGGATGACGATCAACTCGTTGAATGACAACAATATCGAGTAAGGTGGGAAGTGCATATCGATAATGACAAACCTAGCCTCTACGAACCCTTAACAGCGGTTGGCCGGAGGGAAGTAGTATCGCCCGCCGATCTGTGCGACAGCTTCTCGTACGTCCCACTCGCATACATGTGTCCTTTCCTCATTGTAGGGAAAAGGTCATGTTGAGGCGGGAGGTGCAGGAGGCTGGCGCCCGATCGAAGGGTGTTTGTCCGTCCACATGTCAATCAATTGCAAAGACCTCGCGACGTCCTCATCAAAAGAAAAGAAAACACTCGCGCAACTC